GCCCACCACAGACAGTGTATTTTCACCAGCAGAAGCCAAGGAACTCTATAATAGTCCCAGGATAAGGGGCCCAATCTATGCCAGCATCTATTATATCCTGATGTTTTGTGTTCTGGCAGCAGTGTGATATAGCAATAGAAACACAACAAACCACACACAGCCTATTTAAAATGGATTTGCGCACTTGGTCTCTATTTTTAAAAGGGGGAAAGCTACATATTATTACTTACAATATGTTTAAGAACTCCACAAAGTGTAGACTATGTATTATGAGGGACTGGGCCTTCTTATAGGCTGGGGACCATTGAAACACCACTAAAAGGTTTATTTTTACTTACATATGAAAGGGTAACCCAACTTTCAGTAGGAATAGTTTTAGAGGTAGCGATAAGAAACCAACTATTGGAAAGCCAGCCAACCTGTAGGATTTATGTTTTTAAAAAGAACGCCCAGGCTTTTTCTATATCCCAGTGGGTATCCTGCATATCCTGTAAGCAGTGAATATTAAGCAGTAAGTCCCTTGGTGCAAAGACTGAACTATTTATATGGAGAATACTGTGCCTCTTTCTTTCATAGAAGAGAATACTATAGCACTATAAATGAAGATGAATACAAAAGGAATTCAAAGGGGGCCAATCCCCCTCCCTCTTTCAACTCTTGCAGACTGTCGAAATCAATGGTTGTCTAAATCAATGGGTGTCTCTTAGCTTTTCAGTTTGCCCTTCTCCATATACAATGCCAAAAAACCCGAGTTCAACATACAGCAGCATTAAGCTAAGCAAAAGAAGGGAAAGCTTTTAGCAAGATTAAATATCTCCATATTACAGTATCTGCTAAACTGTTTATTTATCTAGTACACATGCTAGGTACCAGGTATATATTAGGCCTGTTTGATCAAGAAAAAATTTGTTTCTAAAATCGATTTGTAATTGGGGTGTTTTTTTGTTTCGATATTTAAAATAATTACAAAATTTTTCCAAAAAAAGTTTTGGTATTTACGAAATTTCGTAAATATTTACAAAACATTTTGTAAAGATGGCGGACCCCCGCGCATGCGTAAAACAAGCTTCGTTATTGGCGCGGGGTCGATCCGTTAAGGGTATAACTGCAAAGTTTCTTATCAATCCAGGATTCATTTCATCAGGGTTACTTGATAGTAAACATTCTTTTGCATTTTAGAATATTTTCACATATTATTCCCATCTTTATTAGGAGCAGAACTCCTGTATCTTTCCCAGTTGTATAGAAGAATGAATTCGGTCAGATGTTGCTTACATGGGAAGGACTCCTATGTGATAGGTGTGACATTTGTCATCAGAAGAGATGGGTCTGACTAACTGCCCGATTCACAGAATGGTATTATACGTACACTGAGCTCATAGGCGCATGGAGACAGAGCCGGCGCTGCAGGAATCCCCTCCCCGGCTCCTGCGCTCCGGCTCCTGCGCTCCGGCTCCTGCGCCCTCCTCCTCCTCCTCCTCCTGGCACTTCCTGCAACACAGCTGCAGAGGCCGGTTGTCTCTTTAAGGCGCCTCTCTCTCCCAGCTGTGTTGCTGGGAGAGAGGCGCCTTAAAGAGACAACCGGCCTCCGCAGCTGTGTTGCAGGAAGTGCCAGGAGGAGGAGGAGGAGAAGGAGGAGGAGGGCGCAGGAGACAGAGCCGGAGCGCAGGAGGAGGAGGAGGAGGAGGGCGCAGGAGCCGGAGCCGGAGCGCAGGAGCCGGGGAGGGGATTCCTGCAGCGCCGGCTCTGTCTCCATGCGCCTATGAGTGTACGTATAATACCATTCTGTGAATCGGGCAGTTAGTCAAGCGCCCAACAGGCAGGGTCGGGGCTTGGCTCACTGGGTGCGCGCTCGCGCCGCCCCTTCGCCCCGCCCGCCCGCCCCATTTACGAAACGAGCGAAAGCTCGTAAAAACTGTGGAGGTTGCCGTTTCGATATTTAAAAACCCTTCCGGGTTTGGAAACATGTTTTGTTGTCGTTTCGTATATGCGAAAATTAACGAATGTTTAACGAATTAACGAACGAAACTGCACAGGCCTAGTATATATATGACCAAACAAACAGTAGGCCCACAGATAGTTTAAGAGGGATTTTTAAGGATTGTTTTATTCAAATACTTAAAATAAAAATAGTGGTACCCCACTTGAAAAATAGCTGACCATAACTTTGAGTATGTACTTCAGGACTTGTCCTTTGTAACTGCTATAATACCTTGATAATGATAATACTGACTTTGGTTATAGGAGTTGTAGGCCAAAAGAGAAACCGGAAAGTACTAGTATCTATTCAATACTTCATCCACTTGCTTTAGTAAACTGACTGTAATGGAAACCAGATACCTAGATGAGCCTTCTTCAGCTGATTGTTCTCCAGATGCCTTGGACCTCGACCTAGCTGTCCAGTATGGCCAAAGTTCAAGAATTATGGGAGTTTAGTTCAAATGACTTGGAGGGGACCAAGTTGCTGAAAATCCACACAGATAGTTGAGAAAAAAGAACTTTTGTTAGAATGTACATTTTCTTTTGATCACTATGCATTTCTAAACTTAAACTTAATGTCAGGAAGTAATCCATTTTTATGGATTTTCCACTCCCTTTTCAGACCCATATGCTGCTGCCCTCCATTGCTTGTGAAAGGATTCCAAGTGAAACTCTTGCTTTGGGAATACAAATAGATTAAAATATTGCATCCCATGCATGCCTGCATACACACACATATATATAATTTCTGAAAAACTCAGGTAACATAGGTTAACTTTAAATGTATCCAAAAACTGACCTGCTTTAATTGATTAGATTACCTAGCATCACAGTGCATGAAGTTTTTTAACTTATGTATATACATATCAAAAAGTACAAAAGGCTGTTGCGGGGATGGAGTTTGAACAAAAAACAATATCCAAGATATATATACAGAGCAAGCAAAACATTAGGAAAAGCAATTGCTAGGCAGTCTTCATCTGTTCCATATCCCAACAGGTGATTACGCAAAGGAAAAAGGAAGCCTCTTCTAACAGTATGACAAGCACATGAGCCTTTTGTTATATTACTGTACTAAACCAAAAGTATTTTGAATATAGTAAAATTAACTAAGGTTATACTGTGCTCTATGAATTAGGATGGCAACAGAAAGATAGGGGTAGCCATGTTGGCTGTGAAGCAAAAGCAATGTATCTTTATTAGGCCACATCCATAGCATTCGTCATCAGTCAGATGTTAAAAATCATACAAGAGACAAATGGTAATTGTGTTAAAGCCACAGGCCTACATTCTGTCTGAGATTGTTGTCTTTTAAATGGTATGGAGGGAATTCAATACAGGCAGAGGCCAATACCCTTATTTACCACGTGAGAACTAGAGACAAAGAGCAATAAAAGGCCAGTAATAAAATTTCACCACCATTAGCAACACGAAAGTAACTTTACTATAGATCTAGTTCTCCTTGACCTTTGCAAAACTAGCTGTAAAAAAACTTTTTTTCCAGATGTAATAATGCAAAGACTCCTTGAGAAAGTCAATGTTCTTTGCCTCAGAAAGGAGCAGTTAGCTTGGTCCTCATATGATCAATAAGGGGAGGGGCCTCCACCTGCATTGAATTCTCTCAGTACCATCTTTACTGACTCACTGGACTATGACTCTAACGTCTTCGTCATCATCATTTCCCCCATGTATGACTTTTAACATCTCTGCCTCAGAAGAAACCAGGGAAGCTTCAAAAGTTTGCATAATATATTTTATGCCTTGGAGTTGACCCCAAAAAGGCATCACTACTTGTGGATAGTATGTTAACAGTACCTCATGAAAAGCAAGGATATTTTTGCAAGTGGGCATTGTTGTCATAATATACTGTAAAAATCCTAATTCCCACTGGAATGTTTCAAGAACAGAATAAGAAATGGCACTGCTGACCTGCTCACATTCAAAATCAATGAAGAGCATTCAGTTCCAAAGAAATATACAGTCATATTGCACAAGCATTAAGACGCAGCATCCTTTGCAAAACTTGTTTACAATTTGCATGCAAAAAAGCAAACATATACACCACACACAACATTCATTATGGTGAAGGAGGGCAGGGTCTGAGTCAGTTTCATCAGAAAAAAACACTAAATTAAAGAACCACCAGCCTAGAGTCATCCAAACAAACCAGGAATCTATTGAAATCCAACACCTATATTCTGAAAGCACTGCAGGAATTCAAGTGTAGTGTTTCCGAAAACAAAGATTTACTAAAATGGCACCTTAAAAATCTGTAAAATCACCCAAGCCAAAATGGTTTTTTAGAAGTCTGAGTTTGTTGTAGGAAAAAACAGCAGCAGTATTAGTCAAGGTTAGACAAGGAGAATTTCCTGTTTATGAACATCATCTGTCCTGTCTCTCCCCCCCCCCCCCCCCCCCAATGCAGACAAATGTACTCCTCGGCAAATAAAAACATTCCACAATTACCCATTGGATATATGCATATTAATGCCTAAAATGGACCATGTGACCTCCACGCTACCAAAATGGGCCATTTAAAACAGAAAATAAAACACAATTGTGCCTGATTTTATGGTTTTGATTTAAATATAAACAACCACCTCCTACCTGTTCTGCAAGATCCAGTTTTAAGGTATTGCTTGCTCACTTCTCTGAACTCCAGGGACAGAAACTACAATTCATTCCTCCACTCCCTTTCCCACATTATAAGCATGCAAAATATCCCCCAAGGCATTACCTTTGAATTTGCTAAATATTACTGCAGTGTCCAAGCTGACTTGGAAAAAACAAGAAACAGCCAAGCTGCCCAGCAAAAATACTTGCACACTCAGAAGTGGGTAAAAAAAAAAATATTTCAGATGTAAATGAAAAGTTGTGAGATGGGATTAAACCTAATCCCTACCGCCCATCTTTTAAGTACAAGATACAGATGCATTGCTCCTATGCAACATTCTCCCTTTTCTCCCGATTTTGAAGTTTAGCTTGTGTTTGATTCCGATTGTTTTCTGTAAGTAACTTACCCTTTTCTCTCCTGCATAAGGACTGTTTCCACTCATCCCCTCCTCTCAAATTCCTTTCCTGGGGGAGGAGGCACTTAATGCACAAACCCCACTGCTACTGCTGCCCTCTTCTTTCCACTGCAGAGTCTCTCAGGAAAAATAATCAACTTGCTCAATGAGGTTTGGGGAATATAGGAGTCCTCTTCTCCTCTTTCCTTTTACTGGGAAAAGATGAATCAATCTACGTGCAGGCTACGGAAAGCCAAGCAAATACACTGCTGCTTCTCTTTCCCTTGTTTAAATTGGGGGCAGGGTGAGCAAGTCCTCTCTCTTGCAAGGAAAGCTCCTATACTTTCTGAGCTCATTACCGATGGAGAAATGGTGAATATTTGGGGCGAAGAGCGAGAGGGAGAATCTTCCCCCTCTTTCCCAATAAATCACAGGAGCAGGACCTCCCATTTTAGCAAATTTGGGGACAACCCACCATGCAGCAAAGGAATACGGCACTTTAAAGTGTTGGTGGTGAAGAGAAGGGGTGGGAGCCAATATAACTGAGAGTAATCCAAGGTCTCTAAAGTCCAATTAGAGGGGGAATGGTGATTATTATTACTGTTATTCTGCTTTCTTCTCTTAAACAAGACCCAAAGCAGCTCACAACAATAAAAAAGTACAAATTACAATTTAGAACCTACAACATACAAACATTAAAATGGAATCGAACACAGAAAGAGTTAAAACGAATAGTTAAAATTACCTCAAAGTGACTGAAGGGCAGAGAGAGGTGAGGAGAAACATTATTGTAAAGGATGCTGGGTAGTGTTTCAGTGGTCTGAATAGTTTTCAATGGTTTTAGGTGAATTCAACTATTTCTTTTAATAATAATAAATATTTTTATTGATTAGCCCTTAGGCCATATCACCAAACCAAACAAGAGAGCTTGATACAACTTAATAAAACTCTACGTAGTAAGTTAAATAAGACACTTGTAATAATACAGTAAATTAGTATGACAAAACTGTATACATGGATCATTTTTTCCCTATCCCCCCCCCCCACACACAATTTACCTTGATCAGCCCCACATATATTTTAACAATTCTATATTTTAATGTTGATACAGGATGGGCCAAAAGTCACAAAAGCATCTGATGTTTGAATAACTATTTTTTTTGGGGGGGGGGGGCTGTATTTAGTATTGTGAGCTGCTTTTGAGTCTCGTTTGAAAGAAAAAAGAAAGGATATAAATAAATATAATCTAAAATAATATGTTGACTTGTATATTTTGATTTCCATCAGGCATGGGCAACCTTGGGCCCTCCAGGTGTTTTGGACTCCAACTCCCACAATTCCTAACAGCCTACGGGCTGTTAGGAATTGTGGGAGTTGGAGTCCAAAACACCTGGGGGCCCAAGTTTGCCCATGCCTGATTAATACCCTGATGGAGACCTTAAGTGGCTCCAAAAAAGAGGAGGGGGCGTGTTCCCTTCTGTCCCTTTCCATTGCAGCGAGCAAAAAGGAGAGGAATCTTGTGAGCCGCCCTCATGGCATGTGCAAGAGTGTGTGTGTGTGTTGTGTGTGTTCCTCCTCGGCTTGAGACACTCTCAGGGCTTGCTGTGAGGAAAGATGAGACTTCTGCTGAGAGTAGGTCCTGAAGCCGAGGCCTTCCCCGCTCTCCCAGCCCTGTCCTTGCCTCCCAAAACTCACCCAACAAACTTGCCGCCGCTCCTGAAGGAAGAGCTGCTGCTGCTTCTGCCTGCTTCTCTCTCTCCCTCCGCCTCGCCAATGCCTGGGATGAGCTCACCCACCCACCGCGGCTCCCCGCTCAGCCTGCAAAGTATCACTCCAACTCTCGCGAGAAGCCGCAACAGCTCGGCGGCGGCTTCTCTCCCAGGCGAGAGAAGTGGAGGAGTGTCGGCGTTGCTATGGTAACTGCCAAGCGGCGGCCTAGCGGCGGGCGGTGAAGCCTGCCTCCAAAAGCGAAACGGGCGCCAAGCAATGGCTGGCAAAGTCCTCTTTCTCTCTCTCTTCCTTGTCCGAGGAGCTAGGGGGTTTCTCCAACTCAGGCCTGGGCAAACTCGGGCCCTCCATGTGTGAAAAAGAGTACTCGTGGACAAGTTAAACATGAGTCAACAATGTGATGCGGCGGCAAAAAAAAATAAAGTTTAACAGTGACAAATGCAAGATACTCCACTTTGGCAGGAAAAACGAAATGCAAAGATATAGAATGGGGGACAATGCCTGGCTCGAGAGCAGTACGTGTGAAAAAAATATTGGAGTCTCGTGGACAACAAGTTAAACATGAGCCAACAATGTGATGTGGCGGCAAAAAAGTCAATGGGATTTTGGCCTGCATCAATAGGAGCATAGTGTCTAGATGTGGATGTGACCGCATGTGGCCCCCGGGCCATAGTTTGAGGACCCCTGGTCTAGATCCAGGGGAGTCATGCTACCCCTCTATTCTGCCTTGGTTAGACCATGCCTGGAATAATCGAAAGGAGATATTGACAAGCTGGAATGTGTCCAGAGGAGGGCGACTAAAATGATCAAGGGTCTGGAGAACAAGCCCTATGAGGAGCGGCTTAAAAAGCTGGGCATGTTTAACCGAAGAAGAGAAGGCTGAGAGGAGACATGATAGCCATGTGAGGGGAGGCCATAGGGAGGAGGGAGCAAGCTTGTTTTCTGTTGCCCTGGAGACTAGGACGCGAAACAATAGCTTCAAACTACAAGGAAGGAGATTCCATCTGAACATTAGGAAGAACTTCCTGACTCTGAGAGCTATTCAGCAGTGGAACTCTCTGCCCCAGAGTGTGGTAGAAGCTCCTTCTTTGGAAGCTTTTAAACAGAAGCAGGATGGCCATCTGTCGGGGGTGTTTTGAATGCAATGTTCCTGCTTCTTGGCAGGGGGTTGGACTGGATGGCCCATGAGGCCTTTTCCAACTCTATGATTCTATGTGTTTTGGACTTCAACTCCCACCATTCCTAAGAGCCTCAGGCCCTTTCCTTTTTCCCCTTCAGCCTCTCAAGCCCATGCCAGCTCCAGCTCCTGAAGCTGTGGGTCTTCTATGGGGAGGAAGCCCTACAGCGGCTCTTCGGAGTCAGGCCCTGGAGAGCCCTGCCAAGAACCCAAACTGAAAAGGCCTTCACGCAGCCAGCAATGCCTCCCTCCCTTCCACAAGAGGAAATTAGCAGAGCAGGAACGTACAAAATGTCTGTGCCTTCAAGTCGCCCCATTAACGACCCCATCGATTTCATGGCAGTGTTTATTTTTAGGCAAAGTAGCCTAGAAGTGTATTTTGCCACTGTGCTTTGAAGAATAGGTTCTATCAGTTTGTGCTTAAGTTGGAACAGGTACATTTTTAAGTGTAAATAATAGTAAAGGTAAAGCTTTCCCCTGACATTAAGTATAGTTGTGTCCGACTCTAGAGGGTGATGCTTATCTTCATTTCTAAGCCAAAGAGCTTCCATTATCCGTAGACACCTCCAAGGTCATGTGGCCAGCATGACTGCATGAAGTGCTGTTATCTTCCTGCAGAAGAGGTACTAATAATCTCACATTTCCATGTTTTCGAAATGTTGGCCTGATAGGTGTATTGTGTCCAAATTTGGTGTCAATTCGTCCAGTGGTTTTTGAGTTATGTTAATTCCACAAACAAACATTGATAGGGATAGATAGATAGATAGATAGATAGATAGATAGATAGATAGATAGATAGATAGACTAATAATAAGACTTTATTTGTATTCTGCCCTATCTCCCCTAGGGGACTCAGGGTGGGTTCCAACAAACAAAAAACACAAAGGCAAACATGAAATGCCTAAAGACATTGAATACCGCCGATATCGAACAGCTAATTATAACATAAGACTTAAATTACATAAATGATTAAACAGTAAAAATCTAACCATAAAAACATGAACCTCCGTTTGCAGAACTTACAAAGGTTCATTAAAAGATTTAAAACTGACTATAATTGCAATAATGTCCACAGTGCTGGCTGACCTGCCAAGGCCAGGGTGCAATGATAATATCCGGTCGGAGGTGTATTAGCTGACTGTCATTCTCTAGTCCTCCTCTCCACATGCTAGAGAGCATGTGTGGATTTTTAATTGTTTTTTGAAGAAGAGGAGGGAAGATGCCATTTTTCTCATTAGCAAGGACATTCTGGAGGTGAGGGACAATCACGGAGAAGACCCTCTCTCTCATTCCCACCAGCTGTAAAGGAGGGGGACCGAGAGTAGGGATGAGAATAAGGAGGGGTCTGTGGTGGGAAGGGAAGGACAGGATTAGAAGTGACCTTCAAAGGATATCTAGTCCAGGCAGGAAGACATAGTCAAAGCCCACCCAACAGACAGCCACCCAGCCTCAGTTAACCTCCAGAGAAGGAGATTTCACTGAAAGATACCCCCAAAGAGCATCTAATCCAATCCCCTTCAGCCAGGCAGGAATGCACAGTGAAAGCCTCCCAGATGGCCATCCAACTTCTGCTTCAAAACGTAAAGAGATTCCATCTCTGCAGGAAAACTGGTGCTGACGCAATTTGAGTGTAGGTACTGCTATAACATGTATAATCTGCACAATTTGTTGATTAAGTTGCAGTAATCATCACTGAAATGGATAAGTTTCCAATTAAGGAAATAAAATCTGTTGAAAAGGATGTTTCTGATTAACCACATGGAGCAACTATAGAGGGAACTGCACAAGAATCAACTTTACACAGTAACGATTATATGAAACATATATGTGGGTATATATATGTGTGTGTATATATGTGTGTGTATATATACTATATACTATTTTAGGGGTTGGTTTAACCTCTGGGTTGCTAGTAGAACCGAATTACCGTGTTGCAAAAGGATGCATGTCAAAAAAGTGTGTCACTAACATGAAAAGTTTGGAAAGCTCTGTCTTAGAGATCCAGCATAGTGTCGTGGTTTGACTATTGGACAACTATTGAGACCAAGTGTGAATGCACATCCAAACATGGAAACCCATTGGTGACTTTGAGCAAGTCATGCCCACTCAGCCTCAGAGGAAGGCAAAAGAAAACCCTTTCTGAGGAAATCTTACCCAGACAATCCTGTGATAGATTCTCCATAAATTAGAAATGACTGGAAGGCATGCAACAAGAATATCTTCTTAATCCCAAATTATTTTAATTTGGGATTGTCAGAGGGAAGACTGGGTCTCCACAACTTGTGGCCCTCCAAGGTGTTTTGGACTTCAGCACCCAGAATTCCTGACCATTGGACAAGCTGGGTAGCGTTTCTGGGAGCCCAAAACATCTGGAGTGCTGCTGGTTGTGCTGGTCTGCTTTAATGATTAGGTAGAAATGGGCATTTC